GGCATGATGGCGCATGCCTGTAGTCACAGCTACTTGGGAGGCTGAGGCAGGAGAATTACTTGAACCTGGGAGGCAGAGGTTGCAGTGAGGTGAGATTGTGCCACTGCACTCCAGCCTGGGTGACAGAGCGAGACTCCATCTCAAAAACAAAAACAAAACAAAAAACAAATAAACAAAAACCACAAGTCTTCATTCACATGAGCCACACTTCAAGTACTCAATAGCCACAGGTGGCTGGTGTCCACCAGATTGGACAGCACAAACAGAATATTTCCATTGATGCAGAAAGGTCCATTGGACAACATTGCCCTACTGTTTTTCCAATAGGTCAGCAGGTGACAGAATTGAGAGGGAGGGATGGGGGCAGAGGAAGCCTGAGCCGAGATGGGTGGGTGGCATGGGTGTTTTGTTTGTTTTTGCAAACTTTGTTGGGCTGGCTGGATTCAGGGACAGCCACCACCCTTGACCTTCTCCCTGTTAATAGTCATCCTGGGCAGGTTCACTGGAAACAGCATTTTCTCACCATGAAGTCAGGGTGCCTGAGGCTATGTCCAACAGGAAGTGGCCAGAGCAGCCTGGGGCCAGGCTGAGCACTGCATGTTGATTGATCCCCAGGCCTGGCTGTCCAGGGGTGGGCCCAAGGGCTGATGGGCTTCTCCTCCTGTCCCCAGTGCAGACTGGTCGGGAGGGCACGGCAGGGAGCAGGCACAGCAGTACCAGGGTGACAGCACCTGAGCTCAGTGCTAAGGGACCAATTAGCCAGTCATGGGGTGCATCCCAGGACCTTGCTGCCAACGCTCAGAGGCTCCCTGAGCCCCAGGTCCTCTCCCCATGCCAGGCCAAGGCACCAAGAACCCAGCCTGCTCAGGCACATGAGCATCAGCCCGTGTCACTTGGCCAACAGGCTCTGTGGCAGGGGAGGCTCAGAGAGCAGAAGGGACAGATCCAAAAGTGCCCACTCCATGAGAGGCCCAACTGAGAGCAGACCCCAGGGAATCCATATGTCGTGAATCATTCGGTAAAGCTCTTTCCTGCCTACCCAAACAGGCAGACAAACCATATCCACCTATGTAACCAAACAAGCTCACATACAGCAGGCACCCAGACACACACCCATAGATCTGCCCAGAGACAGAGAGTGGACACACAGGCACCCAAGACAAGACAGCAGGTGTGCCCTCATGGGTGTACATGTGTAAGTACAGCCATGTACTTACACATGTGCAGGTGGGCCCAGAATTCATCCCTGTTCCCCTAAACCAAAAACACCTTCCTTTAGCTGAAAGTTTAAACTGTGTGTCTTGCTGAATAAAATCAGTCCCAGGACCCCCATCCCTCTTGACTACAAGCTGAACATCCTGCAGTACCGGGAGCCCCCACACCTTGCATGGGGACTGGGGGAGGGGGTCACCCAGCTGGATGAGTCACCTTCCTCTGCATTCAGCCAGAGGCTTGGTCTCTCAGGACAATGAGACTGTGAGAACACAGCACCTGTTCTCAGGGTCTCCCAGGCATTCCTGGGAGGGCACCTGCTTCTCCCACTTAGGCCCCACTCTCTAATCTTCATAAAAGCTTCAGTTTTCCCATGGGCCTCCTGCCCCTCCCATCCTCTGAAGCAGGCAGGCAGCATGACAGGTGACAAATCGAAAGTCACTTTCTCGGTCAGGCATAGTATCTCACACCTGTCATCCTAGCACTTTGAGAGGCCGAAGTGGGAGAATTGCTTGAACCTAGGAGTTCAAAAGCAGCCTTGGCAACATATCAAGGCCCCATCTCTTATAAAGAAAATAAAAAGACATTTTCTCAGCTGGGCGCAGTGGCTCACACCTGTAATCCCAGAACTCTGGGAGGCTGGGATGGGAGGATCACTTGAGCTCAGGAGTTTCTGACCAGTCTGGGCGGTATAGTGAGACCCCATCTCTATAAAGTAAGTAAATTTTTAAAAGTCATCTTCTAATGAACAAGTGTGTGCCAGGGCTAGGGCAAGCTGTGGGGGTGGGTGCGGGTAAAGTTCCTAGAGGTCTTTGGGACTCTGGGGTGTCATGGGTTCACAGCTGAAACCCTGTTTTCGGCAGTTAGTCGGGCAGGGCTGCCAGAAGCTGCGGCTGCCTCCTTCCTCCCTTCCCCAGTGTCAGGTTCACTCCACCTACCCTTGTGAACTGTAACCGCCTGCCCAGGGCCAGGCTTTCTCCTGGAATCAGACTTTCACAAAAGATTCTCAGAAAAAGACAGGCGTCCCATTCCCTCAGCCCCAGCCTGGCAGATCTGCTGCTGTCAGTCCTGTGGTTCCTGGGCCTACTCCCAAGCTTTTAACCCATTCCACCTCAAAGCTGGTAGGCTACCAGTAGCACCAACTCCCATCCCCAAACCCAGTGGGAATTTAAAACCATAGGAAATATTCTTGTGCCAACCCAGAGGGTGAAATATCTTCCTGCTTTGTGCCCTCTTAGGGCCAAGAGCAACATCTATTACATAATAACAGATCACTTAATAATAATAATCTTACCAGCCTGGGCAACATGGCAAGATCCCATCACTACAAAAAATAAAAATAAATTAGCTGGGCATGGTGTCACATGCTTGTAGTTCCAGCTACTTGGGAGGTTGAGGCAGGAGGATCACATGAGCCCAGAAGTTCAAGGCTGCAGTGAGCTATGATTGCGCCATTGAACTACAGCCTGGGTAATAGAGTGAGACCCTGTCTCTAAAAATAATGAATAAATAGATAAAATAATAATGAAAAAATATGAACAGCTAACACTACTTACATAATAAGAATTCATTTTAAAATAATGGCTTGGTGACTCTGGGCATACCACTTACAGTGTACCCCTGCTCTCCAAGGAGCAGTAAAAATATATAATAATAATAGTAATAATAATCATGGCTATCGCTAAAATGTAAGCAACAACATAAACTCTACAAGGGCAGGTATTTTTTCCATTTTGTTGGCCAATGGATCCCAATAACCTAGAGCAGTACTTGGCATATTGCAGGTACTCAGTATTTGTTGACTAAAGTACTTACTGTTAGACACTGTCTAAGTGCCTTTCAAGGATCGGTTTAATTCCCTTTTACGACATTGTGAGGTCAGTAATATTGCACCCATTTTGCAGACTGAGGCAGAGATAAACTAAGAAATCCACCCAGAGTCACACGCCTCATAAAAGGAGACTTTGTGTCCAGGCAGGCTGGCCCTGGGGCCCAGGCTTTTGATCCCCAAGCTCTATTGCCGTTCTTAACAGCAGCACCCTGTCATAGCAATTAGATTTCATTGAACTGTTTTTCTTCCCACTTCTCAAATAATAATTTATTGATATCTGTGTCTCCTACCAGACTGTGGTGTCTGTTAGTTCTGAGGAGAGGGAGGATGTCTCACATACAGAAAATGCTTGATCGAAATTGATGGAATGATAAACGATATTTTCTTCTGTCTCTCTGTGTCCTGTATAAGCCATTCACCAAATGTCTTGAAAATGATTTGGGGTTGGGGGAAGGGACTGAGGAGTCGATGACTAGAAGCACAGACTCCAGAGTCTGAAGGACTGGGTTTTAATTCCTGTCTCTATTTCTTTCTCGCTATGTGACCTTGGGCAAGTTACTCAACCTCTTAGGCCTCAGTTTGATCATCTATTAAATGGGGATAACAACAGCTTCTGCCTACTAGAATTGTTGTAAGGATTAAATGAGATAATGCTTGATCTATGCTTAGCATATAGTAAGGGTTCCATAAATGGCAGCTATTGTCATACTAGCTGCCAATGGTAATACGGTGGTGGTGTAACTTCCGCTTGCCCTGTGTCTGAGATGAAGCAGAAGCCTCCCATTAGCTCCTCCATAGGCTACAGCTGGCAGCTTGTGGGCAGGTGCCGGCAGCAGGCGTGACCCACTCCTCCCCATCTGCCAGGGTGAATCCTCCACCACTTCCGGTCAGACCTTACAACCTACTTATTAGATTAATTAGACTCGACACCTTTCCAAAGATACCTTGGCTCCAAAGCCAGACCTAACATCTGGCAAGGGCTGCAGCTTGCCAAGGATTTGGGAAATGACACGTTGTCATCAGCCTCTGGCTGAAGCAAGTGGGTTGAGTTGGGGGGCAGAGGAACCATCCCATTCCTCTTTAGGGCTCACTGGATGGCACCTGGGGTCTTCTCTGGGTAGGATTGCCAGATAAAATATAGGAAGCCCTATTAAATTTGAATTTCAGACAAACACCGAATACTTTTTTAGAACAAGTGTGTCCCAAATATTACATGGAACATACTTATATTAAAAAGTATTCAGTGTTTATCTGAAATTCACATTGAACTGGACATCTCATTAGTTTGTTTTTTCCCCTGAATCTGACGGTCCTATCTCTCGGGCATGTTGGAGTGTGAGAGGAGGAAGGAAAGTTCAAGTGTTTGAAGGAGCAGGCTCAGGCCTTCATAGGGCCAGCTCTCTCTGGGCCCTGGCACTGGGAGCTCCTCTCTGGGCCTCCTGGCTCTCAGGTGAGGGTGTCTGGGGACCTATCAGAGCCATCTTCCTTCAGGGAGGCCCCATGGGAGGAACAGGGCACTGCTGCCAACTCAGAGTTGTTTGCACTTCATGGCCTCCTGAGGCACAGGCCCCCTTCCTGGTTAACATCCTGGATGGGAGGACTGAGAACAACAGCAGCTTCCCTGGAGAGGCGCTGCAGAAGTTCCAGGAGCACCGTGCTGGGAATAGGCCTGTTGGGACCTGGAAGAACAATCCCTCCTGCTATGGGAGGGCTCCCAAGCAGGTGCAGGGCTTGTTCGATGTCACACAGTGTGGAGGTAAACCTAGAGTGTGATCCCCAGACCTCTCATTGCCATCCCCCATCTATGTCACTGCCTTTCTATGCAGTGAGGGGAGCAGCTATGGCCAGTGCAACTGGTGACTGAGCCCCTCTGACACAACAGGTTTCAAACTCAACCTCTCATCTGCCCTGTATTAGGCTGTTCTTGCATTGCTATTAAGAAATGCTTGAGACTGGGTAATTTACAAAGAAAAGAGGTTTAATTGGTTTAATTGGCTCATGGTTCTGTAGGCTATACAGGAAGCATAGTGCTGGCATCTGCTTCTGGGGAGGCCTCAGGAAACTTCCAGTCATAGTGGAAGGCAAAGCAGGAGTTTGCACATATGTGGCATAATTTTAAAGGACCAGATCTCCCGAGAACACACTCACTACCATGAGGGCAGCACCACGGGGATGGTGCTAAACCATTGCTGAGAAATTCACCCCCATGACCCATCACTCCCACCAGGCCCCATCTCCAACACTGGGTATTACAATTCAACCTGAGATTTGGACGGGGACACAGATCCAAACCACATCACTCCCCCTTCAAGACATGGTACCTGCCCTCCTGGCTGTGCAAACTAGAAACTCCAGCTTCATCCTGGCTGTATCAGTCGGCTCGGGCTGCCATAACAAACACCACAGACCGGGCAGTGCGAACAACAGAAATGTATTTTCTCACTGTTCTGGAGACTGGAAGTCCAAGATCAATGTGTTGGTGGGTTGCTTTCCCCCGAGGCCTGTCTTCTCAGCTTGCAAATGTCTGGTTGTTTCCTGACATCCTCACATGGCCTTTCCTCTGTGCATGTGCACCCCTGGTGTCTCTCTGGGTGTCCAAATTTCCTCTTCAGCACGGTGGCTCACACCTGTAATCCCAACACTTTGGGAGGCCAAGGCAGGAGGGTCACCTGAGGTCAGGAGTTGAGGCCAACCTGGCCAACATGGTGAAACCCCATCTCCACTAAAAATACAAAAATTAGCTGGGCATGATGGCAGGAGCCTGTCATCCCAGCTGTGCAGGAGGCTGAGGGAGGAGACTTGCTTGAATCTGGGAGGCAGAGGTTGTAGTGAGTTGAGATCGTGCCACTGTGCTCCAGCCTGGGTAAGAAGAGTGAAACTCCATCTCAAAAAAAAAAAAAGAAAAAAATGTTCCTCTTCTTATAAAGACACCAGTCATATTGGATTAAGGTCCACTCTAACAGCCTCATTTTAATTTAATCATCTCTTCAAAGGTTCTATTATGGTACAAAAGTAATTGCAAAAGTAATTGAAAGTAATGGCAAGAACCCTAATTACTTTTGCACCAAACAAATATATCCAAATACAGTCACATTCAGGGGCACTGGGGGTTAGATCTTCAAAAAGTGAATTCTGGGGGTGTATAGTTCAGCCCACAATACTGGGCACTCCTGCCTGTCCCTTCCTCTGTGAGTCACTAAGCCCTGTTAAAGCCACTTCCTCTCTAGCTCCTCAATTTGTCCACACCCTTCCATTGCCCCCCGAGCTGATGGCCCATCTCCCAGGCCAGACGGCTCTCCTCCTGGCCCGTCTCTTGCTTCCACTGTCACCCCGTCTCCAACCCATTTTGTACCTAGCAGCAGAAGAAACACAGCTCCACTCATATCAATCTCTACTCGCCCATCGTATAAATCCATCGCTGGCTTCTTATTTTTAGGATCAATATTGCCTTACTGTGGCCTGCAAAACGCTGTGCGGTCTAGCCCTGTCCCCTTTCCCAGCCCTAGTCCCTCCCGTGGGAATCCCTCTATCCATGCTGCAGCCATCTGAGATCTGAATGTGAATTGAACTCGTTCTTGCTTGGGGCTCTTCTTGCTAGCACAGGCTGTTCTGTCTGCCTGCCTCATTCCTCCCACCCCACCTTCCACAGGCTTACCTCTACCTGTTCTACCTGTCCTCAGACCTCCACCGAGGCTCCACTTCCTCCAGAGAGCCTCCCCTAATCCCTGCCAACCCTCAGGATCTGAGGTGCGGGCTCCTCCCGGACACCTCCAGAACACTCTATTTAGTTTGTTTGCCAGCCTGTCTTCTCTGCCAGCCTGCAGCCTCTGTGAAGGCAGGGGCACATTCACTGCTCTATCTGCAGTAACCAGGGTGGCCCTGGCACACAAAAGGGCTCACCGGTTACAAGTTGTGATTTTTTTACTGTTAAATTTCTGAGCAACATCAGACTGCAAAGCATTGGGGGGTAAAAGGAGAGGAAAAGAGAGGCCAGACAGCCAGGCAGTTCTTCACTTCGAGCAACACAACAGAATCACCCGTGTGGCTTTCAACATGTCAATGCTCGGGTGTGGTCCCAGAGATTCTGATTCCATCGGTTGGAGGTGGGCCCGAGAGTGGTACTTTTTGAACAATTTTCCAATACTCTATGTGCAGCTGAGTTTGAGAGGCCCTGGGTGAGCCCTAAGACTCAGTTCACAGGGTCTCAGCTCAGTAGGTCCTTGCTGATAGAGGTCATCGTCTACTGCTGGTGGAAGGATGGGGTCTCCAGATGGTTTCCCTTGCCACAGCTCCTTTCCTCAGGGTGTGGCTCCCTGAGCTGAGCCCCAGTGGTTTCCTCCCCATGGAACCAGTCAAACAGCTCCCTACTGGCTCCTTGGGGAGACAGCCAGGCCCAGAAGTAGGAACAGGGGCTGGGGTCTAGCCCAGCAGGCTGGGTCATGGGTCTCCTGCCAGAGCCAGGCCCAGGGGAATTCAGCCAATTCCACAAATATTTGCCGAGCACCCAGACCGGGCCAGGTGCTTTGCCAATGGCGAACCTGGTAACCAAGTCTGGCTGCTGACCAGCCCCATACCCAGCCTTGGACTAGGGCTCAAAGAGGAGCTGGGTGAAGAGTACCAGTGGCTGGCTGTTGGCACAGTTAACTCCCAATGCCCCTTCCATGATTACCTAAGCAAAGTGGAAGGTGTGATCATCACATCCCACCCCAGCTACCCTCTGTCTTTCCTACGGCCTAGTGTGGCCAGAACTGTCGCAGCAGAATCACCTAGGAAGCCTGTTAAAAACATAGGTGTCCTGGGCCCCACCCTGGAAATCTGTTTCAGAAGGTCTAGGGTAAGTTCCAGTGATCTGTGTTTTCACCCAGTTCCCCAAGGGATTCTGATGCAACAGGTAGCCAATGATTCTAGTGTGTAGCTGCCTTTAAGAATCACAGCAGTCTAGGCCAGGAGCGGAGGTTCACACCTGTAATGCCAGTATTTTGGGAGGCCGAGGCAGGTGGATCACTTGAAGTCAGGAGTTCAGGACCAGCCTGGGCACCATGGTGAAATTCCATCTCTACTAAAAAAAATAAAAATTAGCAGAGCATCGTGGTAGGCACCTGTAATCCCAGCTACTTGGGAGGCTGAGGAAGGAGAACTGCTTCAACCTGGAAAGCAAAGGTTGCAGTGAACTGAGATCACACCACTGCACTCCAGCCTGGGAAACAGAGAAAGACTCTGTCAAAAAGAAAGAAGGAAAGAGAGAAAGAGAGAAAGAAGGAAAGAAAGAAAAGAAAGAAAGAAAGAAGAAAAGAAAGAAAGAGAGAGAAAGAGAAAATCACATAGCAGTCTAATTTTCTCAGGTGGGTTGAATGCCTTTGGGGGGAAGGAGGTAAGTGAACAGAAAGAAGTTTCTGGGCTCAGGAGACTCAGCCACCGCTGGCTCTGACTGGCTTCACAATCATCATCCCCTCATCATTCATCAAGCATTGAGCTGGGTAACTTGCTCAACCTCATCCTACCCTGGTAAAGCTGAGGTCATCCCAATTTTATAGCCCAGAGAAGATCAGTTACTTGCCAAGGTCATAGACAGAATGGCCAAGTAGGGGTTCTGGGTCTGAAGTCGCTCACAGACCCCGGGGGAGGCTAATGGTGCAAAACACCGCCAGCTCTGGGTGGAATGAAATTGATGTGCCGGGGGAGGTAAAAGCCAAGCGCTCAGCAATGCAGAGAAAAAAGAGATTCATGCTTACTGGGGACTAGCAGGGAAGGGTCCAAAGGAGGTGGTACCATTTGGGCTAGACCCTGGTAGAGGAATTCAACTTTGGCATTCAGAGAAGGAAGGGAAAGAATACCAGGCAGAGAATGCAGTGTGAGGGGAGCCATTGGGATGGGGAGAACATATTGTGGGAACAGTGGGTGGGTTGATGTGGTCGTAGCACGGGGCATAGAAAAGGACATGGGAGTGATGACGCAGGAGAGGGCAGCTGGAGCCTCCTCACTGGGTGGTCACTGGAAAATGGCCAGAAGTCTGAATGGGGCAATAACAAGGCCAATCTGGCTTTAAGAAGGTAACCCTGGTGACAGAGGGCTGGGTGGATCAGAGCAATCGTAGCTGGGTTATGAGATGACTAGACCCAGCCAGGCAAGAACAGTGAGTCACCCTACTTCTCTGGATCAGTTTGTTCCTCTCTAAAATGTAGATAATTGTCCCTCCCTGACATCTGTCCCAGGCTGTTGTGAAGATGAAAGAAAAAGGGGGATGGGAAAGAGTGCTGGTGAGCCCCAGGGACAGAAGGAGGGCTTTGCAGGTAAGAGCCAGAATTGGGAAGCTGGAGGCTGTGTGACAATGATGTGCCCTGGCTAGTGACCCCGGTGCATGGCTACAAGATACAGCAGCATGCAAACAAGATACAGGCCAAGCACAGGAGGGGTCCCGGTTCCCAGGAGGCAACTGCATCTGGACTCAAATTGAGAGAGAGAGAGAGAGAAACCCCTCCAAACCTATCTGAAGCAGGTCTGCAAACTTAGCTGCTTCACCATTTGAAGGGGTTCTGTGGGTAGAATTCTGTTTCCTAAAGGGCCTCAGGGACACCTGTCCCAAGTCAGCATCTCACAGAGGTTTTGCCAGCACCAGCCACTTCTCCAGCATTAAGGTGGTTGTCTGAGTGTGTCCAGTACAATTCCTGTCTTGGTAGGAATCACTGCTGCAAGAGAGAGGGCTGCCAAGGCCCTGCCTCCCTCCAACCCCATCCTAGCCCAAGTCTTAACTGTTCTTCCAATCCAATTCCACTTTGGGCCAGTGCTTAACCCAGAGTAGTGCTTGTGAGCCTCACAACTCTAGGGAGTGAGTTTTTCATCCTAATGCTCTCAGATGAGCGAAATGAGCCTCAAAGAGTCCACACAGGTGAGGCACAATGGCTCATGCCTGTAATCCTAACACTTTGGGAGGCCAAGGCAGGAGGATTGCTTGAGCCCAGGAGTTCAAGCCCAGCCTGGGCAACATACCTCAGCCCAGAAGTTCAACACCCTGTCTCTACAGAAAATACAAAAGTTAGGCAAACATGGTGGTATGCACCTGTCATCGCAGGTATCTGGGAGGCTGAGGTAGGAGGATCACTTGAGTCCAGGAGGCTGAGGCTTCAGTGAGCTGTGATCCTGCCACTACACTCCAGCCTGGGTGGCAGAACAAGTCCCTGTCTCCAAAACAAAACAAAAACAAAGAGTCCACACAACTAGTGGGTAGAAAACTGGGCCTCAAACTCAGGCCTGTGACATTAAAGGCTGGGCCTGTCCCCACTGATCAGTCATTCTTCAGACAAGCTGAGGTGTCCTCTATAGACCAAATATCTGGAGGTCAGAACACTGAGATGCTAGTTATGTAAGGGCCAGGTGTGAGTTGGTGAGCTCATCAAGAAAATGCTTCCTGCGCCAGGTGTGGTGGCTCACGCCTGTAATCCCAGCACTTTGGGAGGCTGAGATGGACAGATTACCTCAAGTCAGGAGTTTGAGACTAGCCTGGCTAACACGGTGAAACCCCATCTTTACTAAAAAATACGAAAATTAGCTGGGCATGGTGGCACATGCCTGTAATCCCAACTCCTCGGGAGGCTGTGGCCGGAGAACTGCTTGAACCTGGGAGGCAGAAGTTGCAGTGAGCTGAGATCTCACCACTTTACTCCAACTTGGGCAACAGAGCAAGACTCGGTCTTAGAAAAAAGAAAAAAGGAAGTGCTTCCTGGAGGAGGCAGTGTGATTCCGGAGGTGGGGACAGGCAGGCTACTCGAGGCCTGGGCTGCTCTAGGCCCAAGCAATGGGCTTTCTCAGAGAGACACAGTCCCGACCAGACCTGGGCCTAAGGCGGTGAGTCCAGTTCCCTCTTCCTATTCAGATTTTCCCGGGGTTTCTGGATTCCTTTCCAAAGGACCCCCGTGGGAGAGGGAACAAGGCCTGAGGATTGAGGATCTGGGGAGGGGTTGAGACCCTGGGATCCTCCTCCACATGCGTGTGTTTGGGCCTCACAGATCTGGAAGAATATGCCCTATCCTGAGACCCTTGATGTCTACATAAGCCACTTGTTTTCAGAATAGACAAAGGTTACCTTCCTGCCCTTTGCCCCGAGGCCCCTGGGTCCTGGTGTGAAATGTTTGGGCCTGACCAGCCAGGGATGGGTTCCACCATTCACATTGCTCAATGACACACTGGCCTCCTGGTGGAAACTTCCCCAGTTGATGGAGAGACCACACCTTTGTTTTATGTTTGTGTAACCCCAACAAAAGGCTGTAGGTCTCCTGGGAGCATGACCTTAGCTGTGGAATGACCAGGCTTTCTTTTTTTCTGCTTTCATTCTTCTTCTTCTTTTTTAACCCTCCTACCTTCTCCTGCCCTCACCAGTTCCAGTGAGGCCACCATTCCGGTGACCTCTCTCCACCAAAGCCTTGCCAAGACCCCACCAGCTCCCCCTTGCATGACTGACAGAGAAATCCCCATCCCCTGGGCCCTCATTCTCATAATCACAGCCCACGCCCTCCCCAAATGGGGCCAGGATTGCTCTGTTTGCTTTTGCTTTGGATTTTATTAAATTTTTTATTTTAAACAAAGTTACACGTAAGCACAGATTTCTGAGAAATGTCCACAGAGTTAGTCATTGAACAACTGCAGCCCTGACCCATCTCCAGGGGTGGCCACTTTCAACTCGTGAAACTGATTCTTTGGAATGTCCACTTTCATATCTCTAAATAACATCTCACATGGTTTCTTTCTGATCTGTGTCGTTTTAGGAGTTTTTTCTTGATTTCCTGCCCTGGGAGGCAAGGAGTTCTTTCAGCTCCTATTGCCTCACACCCACACCTGCCTCTCTTCCCAATGCAGCCACGCCATAGAGGGTGATTTTGGTTATATCACTATTCCGTGTTGACCTTTTCTGACTATGTAAACACTAAGGCCAGATGAGCCATATGGTAGGCTAGGATTAATTTTTCTACCTTTCTTTTCAATCTGGGAAGTAACCAGCTCATGGGCAGCCTCAGATACCACAGCCTAGCAATGGTTTGGTTCATCTGATCCCAGCCACTGACATCACCAAACCAAACCCTTCACTGCTTCTTGAGACACATCTGTGGTCAGGCTAATGGTGACCTTACTGAGAAGACATGGTCCAAAAACTTGCTGGTATCTGTTTGCTTTATGTGTCACAAGAGGCCACTGAATGGCTGCTCTGAGGTGGATGCTGAGTCAGAGTGAGAGGTTCGAATTCAGCCTCTGCCTTCTGTGGCTGTGTGACCTTCAGCAAGTTACAGATCTGCTGTGAGCTTTGTTTTCTTCATTTGTAAGATGGAATTAAAGGAGGGAGCCGTCTAGTGATGGGGATAGAATGAGATACACCTGTAATGCACGGAACACAGGGAAAGAATGACAAATGGGGGGCATTGTTATTACCACTGGGTGAATTATTAGTAGGGGCTCTTTCAGTGAATATTCCAGAATAAAGTAATGGCATGCTTCAAAAACATTCAGGACTTTTAAAGTAGTTAATGGGCACACGCCCCATCTCCCTAAGAGCACAGCCAACTTGAGCCAACTTCTCCGAAGAGCACTGTTGTACCAGGGCATTATGCAGCTCTCGACCAGGCATTGAGGATGGAGGTGTGGTTGGGTGGCATCCCTGGGTACAAGGAAAGGAGTGGGTCTTCCCCACTTCTCCCTATTCTGTTTTTTTTTATGGTGTCACTCAGCTAATTTGGATTGTACTGGGGGCATCGTCCTCCAACACGGACCACTGGCCTCCAACAGGGACCTATGCCATGTCAGTCTCAGCTACCTCGTGTTGCTCCTAGGAGAGAGTTGACCATCTGGCCCCTCCTAGTCCCTTTCTTGTGTATTTGGGAGGGGGTGTTAACCATATATAATATGTGCTAATTTTAAGAGATTCAAACACTGCAGAAGTATAAAAGAAGAAATTTTAAACCTTTTTTCTACCCTAGAGGTAACTGCTGTTAACAGTTTGTCACATGCCCTTCCAGGATTTTATTTTCTATGCTTTCAGTGTGTGGGCGGGGGGCTGGATAGGCTGAGGCAGGTGGCTCACTTGAGCCCAAGAGTTCTAGACCAGCCTGGGAAACATGAAACAGGGCAAAACCTTTTCTCTACTAAAAACATAAAAATTAACCAGGCATGGTGGCACACACCTGTAATGCCAGCTTCTCAGGAGGCTGAGGCGGGAGGATGGCTTGAGCCTGGGAGGTGGAGGTTACAGTGAGCCGAGATTATGTCACTGCACTCCAGCCTGGGAGACAGAGTAAGACCCTGTCTAAAAAAAATAAAAATAAAATAAATGTATGTGTGTGTGTGTGTGTGTAGAATTAGTTCAAGTATTATATTCAGTTACAGTACATGAATATAAGGCATATACAGTAATACAATGAGATCACACTGTACTTCAGTTCTGTGGCTTGCTTTTTCATATAATAATGTACCATGGACCATATTCCAGTTTGCTCCAGCAGCCTGCTGGGTATGTTTTTTCAGGTTGCCTTCCATTTTTACCGAGATAAGCAATCTTGTGATAATCTTGCTCTTGCAGATATCCTTTTGTATTTGTGCTATTATTCTATTGAAAGTAGGTTTCTACAGCGTGAAGATGAGGAAAACAGCTCAGAGGCTACTCCTCAGCTATCTCCCTGGGGCCAAGCCCCCTCCTCCCAGATGACCTTCTCCAGTTTCCCTAACTACCCCCACCTCCGTCCACTAACACACCACTCCTCCCAGGAAATGTCTAATTTCGGCCAGGCCAAGGCAACCAGGGCGTTTCACGTGTGGCTGAAATCATGAAACCTTCCTTTGCTATTGGTTCTCATGGAAGACAAAATGAATTCAGCCACTGGGATTTTATGGTGTACATCCTTGTTTCAGCCCATGATGGAGCCTGTGCTGTGCCTTTACCTCCTATGAGGGCAAACCTGCTTACAGATCAGAAAGGATTATTATTCCTGCCTTCAGCCTTTCCACAGAGCTCCTAGTTTCATAAAATGAGGAAACTGAAACCCAGAGAGGGAAGTGGCCCACCCAGGGCTTGCCCCTGGCCATTGGATCAGAATCTGAGTTTCTGGACATGGGCAGTGGGGGTGGGAGTGGGGAGGTGGAAATAAGTTACAGAGGTGGGGGAGTGGGGCTATTTATGCATCTGGCTCTCTGCCAAGGTTTCCCATTCAATCCCAATAGCCATGCTAGGCAATGGAGGTGGCATCACATCCATTTTCCAGAAGAGGAAACTGAGGCATATCTGGCTGTGAAACTACATCTGTCAGGCTTCTAAAACTCCCATCCTTCTTCTCTTGATTTACAAAATATGAGATCCGGGGTGCAGCTCTCAGGTTTGGGGATCTGAGATAATAAACAGCCCTTCCAAGTGTTCCTGTCTACCTCCCTCCCCACGAGCACAATGCCCATAGAGATGTGGGCTCCTCTTCCAGGAGGGCCCAAATCTGAAGAGGCGCAGCCAGGCTGCTGGAGGCCTTGTCTGCCCTCCACACATAGCTGTGAGACTTGCAGACAGCCTGGCAGACTCCCACCTCTAGCAGGCTTGGAGCACGTGGGTCTCTGGCCTCTGCACCCCTTGGTGGGCAACGCTGGTGAATTCTCAAAGATCATGTAGCAGAGTAGGATCCAAGTGGCAGGAAGAACCTCCATGTTCTCCTTCCTGTTCCTTGGCTGGCACATCAGCCTGTGCTTTAGGGAAAGGGGCGAAATCTCCTCTGGAGGAGCCTAAAGGGCTGGGTTTAAGGGAAGATCCACCTGGGCTCCCCCATTCACTCACCCTCTGCTCCATCTTGGGCAGGACCTTCCTCCTGGAGACTCCAGCCTCCTTCCTAAACCCAGCCTGGTTGCTGGGCACTGGGCACTGGCAACAAAACACTCCCCATGGGGCCAGCTCTTGCCAGGGACTGAGAACAGTGATCCTCCGGGAGAAGCCTGTTACCCAAGGCTAGGTTACGGGGAGAAGCGGGGCTCACCGGGAGCAGCTCCTGCTGGCTTTGTGTTTGAAACAGTTGTCAGGAAATGCCAGCCGCTCCTCGGGCCTATAGCTTCCTTCCTTCCCTCACACCTTTTGAAAAGGTGAGCTCCTGGAAGACAGAGCCCCTCAGACAAGCCCAGCTCACCCTCAGTTCCAATCTCAGCTCCACCTACTCCGCCTGTTTCTGGACACGATTCCCACCACCCTGGGCTGGCCAGAGATCCCCAGTCTCCTCTCCTGCCCTTCCCCAGGCTGTTCTGTCATTTTACAATTCCTAGTATTGTTTTTCCCTAACAAAAGCAACACAAGTTTTCTGTTAAAGAAAATATTAAAAGCAGGGCTCCGTGGTTCACTGCTATAGTCCCAGCTACTTGGGAGGTTGAAGTGGGCAGATCATTTGAATCCAGGAGTTCCAGCCCAGACTTGGCACCACAGTGAAAGACTATTTTTTTTGTTTTTGAAAAAAGGTGCCACTCTGTCGCCCAGGCTGGAGTTCCGTGACGTGTTTGTGGCTCACTGCAATCTCTGCTTCCTGGCTCAAGTGATCTTCCCACCTCAGCCTCCCAAGTAGCTGGGACTATATATGGGCACGACCACACACAGCTAATTTTTAAAATTTTTAATAGCGATGGAGTTTTACTATGTTACCCAGACTGGTCAGAACTCCTGGGCTCAAGGGATCCACCTGCCTCAGCCAAGTGCTGGGATTACAGGTGTGAGCCACCACACCTGGCACCCATTTCTTAAAAGAAAATATGGCAGAAATGTCTAAATATAAAGTAGAGGAAGAAAACCAGCCTCCATCCCAATCCCAGATATACCGTATTGCATGATGAGCTCAAACTACGATCTGCACCTCATTTCTTCGAGGAAGTTTCTTTGAAACAAAAACTGATCATGTCTCCTCCAAGTTTAAATTACTCCAGCAGCTTCCTACCACTCTCAGGTCAAGTTCACTCCTGATCTTGGCTATCAGGCCCTGCCGGCCTGTGCTTCAGCCTAGAGCTTCCTCCTCCCGGCCACACTGCAGCTTTCAGGCTCCTGTCCTCCCTCTTTCTCCACCTCTTGTCTTTTCTCCCTTCCTCTGTTTCCCCTTTTACTTTTGCACAGGCAGAGTCCCAGTCCCCACCTGAAGCACCATTCACCTGGTGACCTTCTCTCCCTTTTCAGATCCCAAATGACTTCCTCTGAGAGGCCTTCTCAGATCCCCTGCTCCCTCTTATCACAGCTGCAATTTCAAATTCACATCTAACTGTTTGGTGGTCTTGCTTCCCAAGACCATCCAATTCAAGACTAAACAATTAAAGGGGGCAGAGCTCTGTTTTGCTCACTGTTCTCTCCGAGTGTCGGCACATTGTGGATGCTCAATAAATACTTGGATGTGTGGACATAGTAAGTACTAATTATCTGATTGCTTACATGGGTTAGCACAATGCTGGGCATGGGGGAACTCAGGGGATTAATACAACAAGGGCAGGTTCTCAAAGGCTGGGGGGTAGCAAGCCAGGGATGAGGCAGGCAGGGGTTTGGGCAAGTGCCAGGATGTCATGTCAGTGAGTTACAAGGATATAGATTTCGAGGTTCCTTTGTGATGTCGTTAAGTCGTTGCCTGACAGTCTTCACTACTGTTCCTGCTAATCACAGGCCCCTGCAGAAGGGAGTCTTCGCTTCTACTTTTCTTCACTACTTGCCTGCAGCCCATGGCCTCCCTCTTAGCACTTAGCCAAGCCCAGGCCAGAGGTCTACAGAATGTGTGTATTAAAAGACTGGATGGATGAAGGATGGTTGGATGGATGGATGGATGGATGGATGGATGGATGGATGAAAGAGCTAAAAAAGCTAGCAGGGCCTAAGAGATCCTTTATTCTTACTATAATTTTTCAAATGGGAAACTGAAGCCTAAGAGAGGTGGACTACATACTTAGTCACTTCCTCACTTTGAGAGCTTATATTGACTTTTTCTTTTCAGTCTATAAACATGTTGAAATATCCTTCACTCTAAACAAAACAAACACCTCTTTCTCTCTTCCCTACAACCTTTCCCTGGAGTAGGACTTCCCCCTTTCCTTTCACTGCCCAACTTCTTGAATATCTTGTAAAGCTCACCCACTGGACTTCCTCATCTCCCATCACCCCTTGACCTCTAGCTTTTGGCTTCCATCCACATCACCATGGCAACAGCTCTGAAGTTGCCAATCACCAGAGACCTCCTAGGCCCCAAGTCCTTCCTTGGCCCAGGTAGTGTTTGGCACTGTCACCGAATCTTCTCTGAACCCCCAAGGCACTGCTCTGCAGAGGGGCCACTCTTCCTGTCCAGAAAGCTACTCTCTTCTGGGACCTTTAATGGGGCCTCTTCCTTCTAGCACCTTCCACCACAGCTGTGGCCTCAGCCCTTTCTTTGCTCTCATTCTGTATTCTCTCAACATTACTGAGCCATGCAAGGCTCTTAGCTGCATCACCTTGTGTAATCCTTACGCTGACCCTCTGACACAGGTGTATTAGTGTTATCCACGCTTTACAAGTAGAGAAGCTGAGAACCAGTGAAGATAAGTCCATTGCTCCATGCCACATAGTTGGTAAGTGGTATCTTTGGGACTCAAATAAAATCTTACACTTTTCTTTTCCTTCCTTCCTTCCTTCCTTCCTTCCTTCCTTCCTTCCTTCCTTCCTTCCTCCCTCCCTCCCTCCCTTCCTTCCTTCCTTCCTTCCTTCCTTCCTTCCTTCTTTCCTCCCTCTCTCCCTCCCTTTCTCTCTCTCTCTTTCTTTCTTGTTTTTTGATGGAGTGTTGCTCTGTCACCCAGGCTGGAGTGCAGTGGTGCAATCTTGGCTCACTGCAACTTCCACCTCCTGGATTCAAGCAGTTCTCCTGCCTCAGTCTCCTGAGTAGCTGGGACTACAGGTGCGTGCCACCACGCCCAGCTAATTTTTGTATTTTTAGCAGAGACGGGTTTTACCATATTGGCCATTGTGGTCTCAATTTCTTGACCTCATGATCTGCCTGCCTTGGCCTCCCAAAGTGTTGGGATTATGGGCGTGAGCCACCGCACCCAGCAAATCTTGCTATTTTCAAGCCTATACACTTAGCTGCCAAGCCACAGCTTTCTCTTAGCATTCTCATCCATGCTCGGACCTTGTGTCTCTTTTTATTACTAGCAAGTTGGTATTTTCAGAGGTGACCTCCCTTTGGAACTCCAGGTTTGCTCTTCCAAAGTCCTGATGAAATTTTTCTTAGATATCCCTTTAAAATCTTGAAGCCAGACTCCTCAGGTCTTTTGTTCACTTGATCTAGGGACAAATCCTTCCCTGCCACCCTCAGGCTCACCTGCAGTGTCAGCCCCCATCCCTGCCCCTTGCCCAGTCTGCCACGATCTCCTCCTGTCTCCTCTTGCGTCTGACCCCCTCTCTGTGTGTTCTGAAGCAATCTGGTGCTCTCTGCAGTTCCACCTTTGCTCAGAGAGGACCTCCTTCATGCTCCTTTGACCAGCAGAAATCCTTTGTATCTAGAAAGTAGGCAGGCAGGAAATGCTCTAAACATCAATAGTGGTTACCTCCAGATGAGCGGGATCCAGGTGACTTTTATTTTCGTATCTGTTCAGTGTTTTCCAAACGTCCTACAATGAGTATGCTTTACTTTATACTCAGAAAACTACTTGGTAACGTAATTTCAGAAATGAATCTTACTCATCTGCCCTGCCTACTTCCTCTTTGAACCCCGTCTGTAGCCTGGTTCACGTGAGGCCTCTTTCAAGTCCCACTGGGGCTTCCTTGGCTACTTGAGAGCCAGGCATTTGTTCACACATGATGACCCGCTTGTTCCCTGCAGCCTTCTCCCCAGTGCCCTGGGTGTACTGGGTCACCCCACAAATGCAGAAGAAACAGAATTAAAATAGACATATTCAAAAGAATATTCATCAAAGGAGTAAGAGACTGGGGACCCTTCAAATGTCTATCCAGAGAGGCCTGGTTAAATAGCACATGGGAGGTCTAGGGGTTTGCCTATAGCCCTTCGAAAGAAAGACATAGTGTGCAGTAAACCGCCATGGCACATGTTTACTTACGTAATAAACCTGCACATCTTGCACATGTACCCATGAACTTAAAAGTTGAAAAAAAAAAAGAAATGCATAGATCCCAGCTCCCAATATGAATCAATTTCCAAAACATGGCATTAATTTTTTTTAATTCCAGTAAAAAGAAATACAAAAAGTGGTGTGCACCTGTAATCCCAGCTACTCAGGAGGCTGAGGCAGGAGAATCACTTGAACCCAGGAGGCTGAGGTTGCAGTGAGCTGAGAACCCACTACTGCACTGCAGCCTGGCAACAGAGCAGGACTCCATCTTAAAAAGAAAAAAAAATCCAGTAACGTGTACATAGAATATTCTCATTTATTTAAAAAATAGAAGGGTAATCACACACACACACACACACACACACACACGTACATACAGATACCTAGAATATCTTTTTGGAAGGCTATCCTCCAACTGGTAACAGCAATTGCTTTGCGAAAGGGATAGAGGGACAGGGGGCTGGATAAAAAACATCAGAGGAGGTGTGAGCATTGTTTCTGTTCAGTTTAAAAAACTGTTTGCATTTACCTTTTAAAAAAGAATTAACAAAAGGACTGGGTGTGGTGACTCACTCCTGTAATCCCAGCACTTCAGGAGGCAGACGCAGGAGGATTGCTTGAGCCCAGGAGTTCAAGATCATCCTGGGCCACAAACTGAGACCCCCATCGCTATAAAATAATTTTTAAAAAAATTAGCTGGGTATGCTACCCGGGAGGCCGAGGCAGGAGAATTGCTTCAACCTGCAAGGCGGAGGTTGCAGTGAGTCCAGATCGAGCCATTGCATTCCAGCCTGGGCGTTAAGAGCGAAATGCCATCTCAAAAAAAAAAAAAAAAAATAGCTGGGTGTGGTGGCAGGTGCCTGTAGACTCAGCTACTCAGAGGGCTGAGGTGAAAGGATAGCTTGAGCCTGGGAGTTTGAGGCTGCAGTGAGTTGTGATCACACCATT